GGGATTGACCGTCACATTATAACGCCCACACGGCTGAAAAGGCGAGCATGTTTGGTGGGATGCGGATTCGAGCCCGCGACCCTCAGATTGTGAGTCGAGCGCCTTATCCACCTGGCCATGCCGGGCATTAACCATCATGATAAAACAAGAAGAAGTGAAGAAACTATATGTTATATAAATGTCTCCAGAGTGAGCAAGAATATTTCTTTTAGGTAACAGATTCTTCACATTGCTGAACTGTAGGATAGTAACATCGTGAATTAAATGTAAAAATATCCTACAAAACATCTAAAAACATTTTATTACTAATATGTTTTATTTTTCTATTAAGCACCAAAGTTACTAAACATGTCAGTTTGGAAACAGGAAAACAATTGATTAATTTGTTTGTTTCGGAATTTTAGGCAAAGCTAAACAAAGAACTAACTGCACATAGACGTTCCTAATTATGAACTGGTAAACTAAAAGGAAGGTAGCTATTCTAATCATCCACTGGAAACTGTTGTCTGACCGAATAGTGAAATTTCACCATTATTACAGCGCATCCACGGCCCCAAATTGCGGAGCGTGTTTTGCAGCCTCACAGCAGTTTGGAAAAAAAATGTATATGCATGATTTATTGGCTGCAGCGAACTGTTCACACTGCTTTGTATTAACTTATAGACGTAAATACTGCTAAAATTTGTTGTATAGGGATTTTCGGTTAGGGCTCTCGACTCCCAACCTCAGTGTGAGTAGTGTCTATCATTTCCAAACTAAGAACGGCTAACGCAGATAGATAGCCTTTTAATAGCTTATTTACATGATATTCAGCACAAACAAACATTGGTTACACAAAAGATCAACTAAAAAACAAATTACGTAGTTTAATTACGCTCGTTTTTTGGTTGTTTTCAGACCAACTTAAGAACAAATATAACATGCTTGAAAATGTTTAAAACTATAAACACTCCAAAACGTTTGATTTCGATAAGTCGTCAAATAATCTGAATTATGCTAACTTTGCTTAATTGAACAATTTTATGGTTAAATAAATATAATTCATCATGTCTTATTTCAATTCTTAGTGATGTCATTACGTGAATCTGGACTTCTTATCTCTCAAATTGACGAACTCCTGATTCCAGAGATTTTATCAGCATGTTTTTTTTATGCAACAACCCACATTCTGGGGTGTCGATTCTCATCACTAACTAATATATATATAAACAACGTTAGTAAGTTCTTCACAATATATTTCGTTAAATATTATTTACATTAGAATTTTTAGAAAGTGCAATGGTGGAAAATCTCAGTTATGTTATTTCGGAACATGCGAGAACTTTTCACTGGCGGAACGCGGCCCAGTCGTTAGCTTGACGATGGTGGATCTCAGGTTCTGTTGTTCGCGTCCCATTACTGCCAAAATGAATAAATACATAAAAATAAAATCACTTTCCATACTATGGGTGCGTTATTATAGTGACGGTTAAATCCCACTATACGGGCTGAGAAGAGTAGCCCAAAAGTTGGCGGTGGGTGATGTTAACTAGCTACCTTCACGTCAGGCTATCACTTCAAAATTAGTGGTTTTTATATGAAATTCAACAAACAAATGTTTTCGATGACTTTTCATATATGTTTTGGCACGTTTGCTACCATCTCTGAATTATCGAAAAGTATAAGCTGTTTTTAAACTATCGTAATTGATCTATCGGGCAGCGCGGTAGTGATGAGTTCGGTTCTCGTTTTTATTTCTTCCTTTCCGTCAGCTGAAACTAATAAATCCCACGGTGCCTACTTCTAGCCTGCACACCAAAACACTAAACGGCTCCCTAAGGTGTATCTTTTAAACCTAGAACTCCAAGTGATCCACGATAGGTTAGTTACAGCCCAAAATATATGCCATGATACGGATGGTTTAATATTCCCAATACGTATATCAATCACTAGATGTAATGCTAATCGTAAAAAAAATCGAAAAAAATCCATAATTTAGCAATAACAAATTTTATTCTAAAATTGTTGGGATGAGAAAAAGATCAGAAACTAGAGAGCATTTGGGATGGGAAAAAGTCTTCATTACCCATTCCTCCATTCCACCACCTAATTTATATATCCATCCACCCTGTGAGTCATTGAATGCAGGAATGAATAATGCAGATTTTCCTCCCATCCCAAATGCTCTCTAGCTTCTCATCTAACCTTGGATCAAGTGTTCTTGATAACTCACACATATACATCCGTATATTATATTGTAAGGCCGTCGTGATAAAATCCTCGATCCTCTAATAAGTTTTGTATCATTCAAGTAAAATTAACATTTAACACCAAAACTAGGTTGCACTAATACACGTTTACTTGATATTTTAAATGATTAACACTAAAATTGGAGAAGGTATTGCTAGTAAATGTTTTCGCCTTTTTTGTTAGCCAAAAAGCCTTGCTTGCACTAAAACATTTATTCGATGACATTGTAGATTATCATCACTAATGCCGGAGAAGGTTATAGCTAGTCAGTTTTTATTATTAAATTAAAATTAACATTTAGCCCAAAACCTTCGTTACAAGAAATAGTAAGCCTCATAATTTCGATTGTAGATAGTGACTTTCATCACCCAAACACAATACCAATCATAGTTAGCTACTTTATTTCTGGAGAATAATTAAAAAACAGAAGCTATAATGGCACTGAGTAGGTCATTCTCTTTAAATTTTGTACAATTTTTACATACTTATGAGAATGTGTTCTTTATCATAATAGGTTAATCTTCTTGCCACTAGATGGCAATGTAAGCAACTAGATTTTTTTATCAGCTGTAACCCCTTGCAACTCTCTGTTTCTTCACTATGTTGCTATAGGGAATCGACCAGAGCTATTAAACTTTTCTATCCTCTGCAGGTCTAATATTGACCTGGAATTATTGAGTAAAGAAACCCTCTACATCAAACAGCATTCTCCAACACTGAACAACGTGCAGTCTTCATTTAAATTATACATTTTTTAATATGTTCGTATTACTGATTTTACTTTTTTGTGCTTTATTTGTTTAATTATCGTTAAATTTAGCATTTGTACTTTAGCAATGTCCAAAGACTTGTGTAAATTCATTTTATTTCGATATTATATGTGTGGGCCGGATTCTTTACAGTAGATGTCTGCGACTTGTTGGGATAAATTTCAACAATAAACAAACATCACACAGTCCACTTGTCTTTAAATAATGTATTAAAACAAGTCAGATGTACGGCTTGAATGGGTAATGAAGAAAAACTTTAATATAAGTTTAACATAACAGCAAATGTACAACGTTTCGACAACCATTCAAGCCGTCTCCAACCATTATTTGTCTCAAAGTGGGTTCCTCGTCATCGAAAATGGTTTTCTTTATTTTATTGGCACAACAAAAATTACAGGAATAATTGTTTATCCTAATACACTTGTTTAGTACTCTAAATTGTTGTTCTTTATCATTTTTTTATTATTTTAATCGCGAATACCACACTTAGATATTTTATTAACCCTTGTTTAATCATGAACTAGGGTAAACTCGCGCTTCGCGTACTTATACTTATTATTTTAAATCCTTTCCAAACCACCCATAATGGGTATTAGTATTACCCGTAAAGAAAGTGCGACATCAAAGTTTACAAAATTGTGATTTTTTCCCCACAGGTTTCTTCCAAATATTAAATTATAATTCTAACTCAAGTTTCGTTCGTTTTAACATTTGTTTTTAGTTGAGGGGGGGGGGGGGAGGATGGAAACTTTAGCCCTAATTGTCGATATTTAGTTTCGATTTTGTTTTGAGATAATTGAAACAAGTAAATTTTTCGCTCTCGCACACTATAAAATTAAAAGGCCAGAAATTCGTAGATTTAATACAACTGTAGAAGTATTTTCTTCGTGTAACGATTTTACAATAGTCAATTGCTCAAATTATGTCGGCAAGCAATATAAAAATAACTGTCGTATTTGTTTTTGGAAACTTGTATCTAATCTAAAGGTGTTTAAATCGTACATGTATCATATGCAGGAACGTCGAGAGCCAGCACGGGCCCCGGGGCAAACATCCTCGCCGGGCCCTCTTTCTTTCTCTCTTTTTTAACATTTTCAGAATTTATTAAAAACAAGATCTTAAATTAGGACAGCAACGAGCTCATAAACCAGACAAAATCATAGCAGCAGCCGTTTTTACCTCACAGTATAAGCATAGAAACGTTAATAAAGTAACAACAAATATCTATTAAATCTATAAAGTAACAAATACATATTGTTACGTCTCTGGTCGTTTGTTAATTTTCGGTATAAATTCTTCCCGAGAAACTTCAGCGATACAAGTCCTTTCTTAAATAAAACTAGTTTATTCTTTCTCAATACAACTTTGCAATACACAGAATTTCTACAGTCACTTTAACTTAAACACATCCTATAATTCACAACGATTCACGTCACGAACTTTACTTAAGGTCAATACCGCTCACTTGACTCAATTATCTGTATCTATATCACTCTTCAATTTGGTATTATTCTCCGCTTTATTTGCCGGGCTTATATACTAAAATAGAGAGCGCTGGAAAA